ACAAAGGAGAAGCCCGACAACACACAGGAGCAAACTGTTTCAGCAACCTGAATCATGAACACACTGCCATGTTTATCATCGCCTTCTGGGCTATTCTGAACTGGGAATGACAGAATTACTCTATAACAGGAGGCTACATGAGCTGCTGAAGATCACACACACAGATGAGAGGTTTGATCTGACTGTGGGCTGTATTTTGTGTTGTTTTGAACCCAAATAAGGACTAAATGTCTGCTGTGTGTAGTTTATCTGTAATTGGTAAAATTTGGGAGACTGTAAGGGGCTGTATGTGTTCTTATATGTTTATTGTTTATTATTATTATTATCATTTATTTATTTAGTTTACATAATTACTGACGTTACAGTAACCTATTCACACTGTCGTTGATCTGCAGTTATAATCAACTCATGTTCAAAAGTTAGTAATATTTATACACAAGTATTTATATGTATGAAGCATCTGTGTTGTGAGAAGTGCTGCTCATGTGATGTTTGAACGACCTGTATGGCTTTAGTGTTTACATTTATTCGAGTGAGGATGACGTTGAAGGAAACTTTCTGTCATACACCACGCTCACCAAAAGAGTACCATTGGTAGTGGAAACACAAGCCTGATAAAGTAGGCCTGTACCGACCCGAACCGTACCGTACTGTACCAGCCAGTGGAAACGGGTCATGAACGAGAAGCAGACGTCAGGACAACATTAGTCCTGTTTGCAATCTGTTGGCGTCGGTAGCTCCGCCCTCTTTGAATTTAAAGCTCTCTTTAAAAAAGAAGAAGAAAAAACACACACTTCTGCATACAAATTAATGATGGAAACACATTTGAGGAGATGATGTTTTATTTTCGGAAAGCACTGACTTCATAAATGTATTAGTCATGCATCTTAAAGGGACAGTTCACCTCAAAATAATAAATAAGTTTGTCATTATTTAATTTGAATCCTTGTTCCAGCTTGAAGATATATTGAAGACTGCTGGGGAAAAACTGCCAGTGAGTTCCCGAGTGTTTTTATTTCCTACTATGGTGCATTCCTCTGTAAAGAGTCTTGGTGTCATCTTTGACTCTGAGCTAAAGTTTGATCGGCAAATGAATGCGGTTGTCAAAAATTGTTTTTTCTAATTTATTTATATTGCCAAGCTGAAGTCTGTCCTCTCTGTTGTTCATGCTTTAATCTCTTCTGGTCTGGATTATTGCAACGCATTGTATCTGGGTGTGAGTCAGGCCTCTGTCTCGCGTCTGCAGCTAGTCCAGAACGCAGCTGCTAGGCTCTTAACAGGCACAAAAAGACGAGAACACATTACACCTGTACTTGTTTCTCTACACTGGCTGCCAATCCAGTTTAGAATTCAGTACAAAGTTCTGTTGTGTGTTTATAAATCCCTCCATGGCCTGGCCCCTGAGTATATTTCTGAGCTAGTTATTATGCACCAATCTGTGAGATCTCTTTGCTCTATGGATCGTCTCTATTTGCAAGTTCCTAGATCACGCGTAAAATTACGAGTGTAGCAGCTCCGAGACTTTGGAACGATCTTCCACTCTCTTTAAAAACAGCTCGAAATTTTGAGTCTTTTAAGAGGTCACTGAAAACACACTTATTTTCTTTAGCTTTATATCATGTGATGTGAGTTTATGTGTTTTGGTTTTGTGAATGTTTACGTACGTTTTATATGTTTTATGTACAGCACTTTGGTAATCATTGTGGTTTGTGAAAGTGCTAAAGAAATAAAGTGAGTTAAGTTGAGTTGAGTTGTTAGTCAATAGAAGCTTTTATCCAACATTCTTCAAAACATCTTCTTTTGTGTTCAACAGGAAAAAAGAACCAACCTGGAACCCACTGCAAATGCTGAGTAATAAAGCTATAGTATATATAAGGTGGCACGGTGGCTCAGTGGTGTCGCACTGTGGCCTCACAGTAAGAAGGTCACTGGTTCGAGTCTCGGCTGCGTCAGTTGGTGTTTCTGTGTGGAGTTTGCATGTTCTCCCTGTGTTGGTGTGGGTTTCCTCCGGGTGCTCCGGTTTCCCCACAGTCCAAACACATGCGCTATAGGGGAACTGATCAACTAAATTGGTCTTAGTGTGTGCGTGTATATGAGTGCGTATGGGTATTTCCCAGTACTGGGTTGCAGTTAGAAGGACATCCGCTGTGTAAAACACATGCTGGAATGGTTGGCGGTTCATTCCGCTGTGGTGATCCCTGATAAATAAGGGACTAAATCATTTATTGTGTTCTGGCCATGTCATGTTGTCCAAGACAAATTTTCCAGAAATGGGGCAATTAAGTATGAGCAATCACAGAAAAGTTCATTAGTGGGTGAACTGTCCCTTTTATGTAAATGAGACACTCTCACTATCCAATCGGCTGTCTTGTGCATATTTAGCTTCATCACAAATGGATTGTAAATAAGATTTGCATGTTGGTAATGATATAAATGATATGATTTGATGTACATCCAAAAACTGACGCAGTACATTTATAAATGAATAATTACAAACCATCAAAACAATACACAGGGACAAGATAGATTTATAAACACCCATGAACCAAGTGTACAGTTTTCTCTTCAAAACAAAAATCTAATTATTTATCCAGCTGATTATAATAGGCTTATAGTCAAATGAAGTGGAGATTTCCAACTAAATTCAAGTATGCGTCTCATATGGCACTCGTAGTCATTTGTGACAGGTTGATTTCTGCAGTGTTGTAAAGTGCTCTGAGTGTTAGTGATGATGTACAAACGCTAAACACTGGAAAATCACAGAAGACAGATCTGTAGAAGAGAAACATAAAACGTGTCTGCATAGTGATTAAGAGGATAATAATAATGAGAAAACACTGATAAACACACGTTGCACTGTAAAAACAATATCTGTAACTTTACGGTTTATTTCCGGCAGCTGGGGTGTGGGAAATAAACCATAAAATAACAGCCTTTAAAGAAATTTACCTTAAAATAACTAATAAATCACAGAAATTTTAATTTAAGTAAATTTCGGTCATTTAATATCCGTTATTTTAAGGTAAATTTCTGTAATTTAACAGCTGTTATTTTGCGTTTCTTCCCGCACCCCAGCTTTTTTCTACAGTGCCGATATGAGAACAGATGAAGACTGCATTATTAGTGCATTGTAATTTTTTCTCAAATATTTCCCAAGTGTTGTTTAACAGAGTAAGGAAATGTCCTGGGCCATGGTTGAACAATTACGTCATGGTATTTTATCTCCTAATATTGGTTGTGATCATCGAGATATACAGTTGAAGTCAAAATTATTATAATTATTATCATTATTTTCTTTTTTACATATTTCTCAAATGATGTTTAACAGAGCAAGGAAATGTTCACAGTATGTCTGGTCGTATTTGTTCTTCTGGAGAAAGTCTTATTTGTTTTATTTCGGGTAGAATAAAAGCAGTTTTTAATTTTTTAAGCACCATTTTAGGAACATTATTATTAGCCCCTTTAAGCTAAATATTTTTCAAAAGTCTACGGCAGTGGTTCTCAAAGTGGAGACAATAAGGATGGGTCGCTTGGTGATTTCCTAAAGGCTCATATATTTAATTAAACTATTAGAACTAATATATTTTATCCATAACCAGCAGAATATAATTTTTTAAAACATGTTTAATATATAATTAATATTTAAAAGTTACACAAAAAAAAAAAAAAAAAACATGCAAATAAAAAAAGTCATCAGCCTTTCAAAAAGATTTTTACCGTTGGATTGTGACCCCTGGGGTTATTATGCCAGATTAACATCACAGCAATGGTGTTAGTTGCAGCAGACTGATTTAACAGTACAATGTCAAACTTTGACACCTCTATGGCACTCATATACATTAAAAATAAAGACCACGACTGAATAAGGAGGATCTCCAAGGATCTTCAAGTGGCTCCAAGTCTCCAAAATTAAACCAAGAATGGTCTTGTGCTATAAACATTGGATTAATATTAGAGTAAACAAATGAATAATGATGATTAAAAATAGACTGTTGCACTTTTTTTGTGTCGTCATTAAGCTTGTTCATAGTTCCTACTGGTGTGTGTGCACCATTGTGTGCGCAATATTTGTATGCTCATAACCACCTCCGAGCATAGAGGGGGTCGCGAGTCACTGGTGTTATTCTAGGGGTCGCAGACTGAAAAGTTTAGTCTCCAGAACAAACCATCGTCATACAATAACTTGCCTAATTACCCTAATCTGCCTAGTTACCCTAATTACCCTAGTGAAGCCTTTACATGTCACTTTAAGCTGTATAGAAGTGTCTTGAAGAATATCTAGTCTAATATTATTTACTGTCATCATGACAAAGAGAAAATAAATCAGTTATTAGAGATGAGTTATTAACACTGTTATGATTAGAAATATAATGAAGAAATCAGCTCTCCGTTAAACAGAAATTGGGGTAAAAGTAAATCAGGGGGGGGCGAATAGTTCTGACTTCAACTGTATACAAGTAAACATTAAAAAACAGTTTGCAGGTTACTCATATGGTGTGCAGGAAAAGGCAGTCTTCTGAACTGGATAATGAATTAAACTCCTATGATGTTGCTATGGCACAGGCTACATGAAGATTTGTTCATCAAACAATAAATAATACACTTATTTCAGTATTTGTTCATGTTATGGAAATAAAGTGTCCGTTATGTGTTCATGTTAACATAATTTAGATTATAATAATGCATTAGTAAATGTGGAAGTATGACTATTAAACTCTGTATTAAAGTATTGTTCATTTTTAGTTCATGTTAGTAAGTAGATTAACTAATGAAACCTTATTGTAAAGTGTGACCTTATTTATAAAAAACACATTTTTCACAGTTTATTTTTCATTTATTTTTGTTTGGTTTTAAATGAATTATTTATTTAAAACAACGTAAAAATGCTGTGGTCAATATTATTAGCCCCCTTCAGCAATATTAGTGTTGGATTGTCTCAAGAACAAACCACTGTTATACAATGACTTGCCTAATTACCCTAACTTTACCCTAATTACCCTAGTGAAGCCTTTACATGTCACTTTAAGCTGAACACTAGTGTCTTGAAGAATATCTAGACTAATATTATGTACTGTCATCATGACAAAGAGAAAATAAATCAGCTATTAAAACTATGATGTTTGAAATGTGTTGAAAGATTAAACAGCACTTGGGAAATAGAGTATTTGATCATTTGTAAGCAGGGCTGATTCAGCTGTAAATAAAGATAGAGCAGAGCTGTTCACGCGTTCACCATCCCTCCACCTCCACCAGCAGCGGCTCCTTCACTTTAATCTTCCCGCTGTTGACGATCACACACTCGGTGTACGGCAGGTTTCGCTCGTTCGTGTCCTGAAGCTCAATGGTGTGAACCACAGCCTGCAGACAGACCATAATAACACACACACACACACACACACACGCGCTCTTACACCTGTTTCTAGTCCAAATATCTACAAGTTTCTAAATCATGAAGTATTTTCTAGACAAGTGAAATATATTGTCCTGTTTTCAGCAATAATGAGTCGAAATGAAGTGAGTTTTTCTATGAACAAGCAAAATAATCTGACAGTAAAATGTACTTATTTTTAGGTTGAAATAGTAAATATACAGTATTACAGCAAAGAAATTTGTGACACCACAAAATGAATGATGGAGCATGATGAGAAAAGATGGATTTTCTTATTTCGTCCATAAGAGTCATATAATAATATGAGTGATATATTTCAGTCTCATTCAAATAGTGAACAGAAGCTTTCAACACTAGCCCTGCCTCCCAGTTCTTCTGATTGGTCCACTGCTTTCTTCTTACTGTAAACAGAAGCTTGCAAAATCTGCCCTGCCTCCCGGCTATTCTGATTGGTCCACTGCTTTCTTAAACAAAAGCTCACAACACTAGCCCCGCCTGACAGTTATTCTGATTGGTCCACTGCTTACCTATTACTGTAAACAGAAGCTCGCAACACTAGCCCCGCCTCTGAGTTCTTCTGATTGGTCAACTGCTATCTTGATACTTTCAACAGTAGCTTGCAAACCTAGCCGGGTTTCACAGTTGTTCTGATTGGTCCACTGCTTTCTTAAACAAAGGAACACAACACTAGCTCCGACTCCCAGTTATTCTGATTGGTCCACTGCTTTCTTAAACAAAGGCTCTCAACACTAGCCACGCCTCCCAGTTATTCTGATTGGTCCAGTGTTTTCTTAAACAGAAACTCCCAACACTAGCCCCGCCTCCCATTTTTTTGATTGGTCCACTGCGTTCTTAAACAAAGGCTCACAACACTAGCCACGCTTCCTAGTTATTCTGATTGGTCCACTGCTTTCTTAAACAGAAACTCAGAACACTAGCCCCGCCTGACAGTTATTCTGATTGGTCCACTGTTTTCCTGCAACTGTAAACAGAAGGTTGTAACACTAGCTCCGCTTCTTAGGCCTTCTGATTGGTCCACTGCTTTTTTGCTACTGTAAACGGAAGCTCGCAACACTAGCCCCACCTCCCAGTTATTCTGATTGGTCCACTGCTTTCTTATTACTATAAACAGAAGCTTGCAACACTAGCCCCGCCCCCGATTTCTTCCGATTGGTCAACTGCTATCTTAATACTCTAAACACAAGCTTACAACACTGATTGCTTCTGATCAACAACAACACAGTTCTTCTGATTGCTACTGTAAACAGAAGCTCACAACGCTAGCTCCGCCTCTGAGTTACTCTGATTGGTTGACCACCTTGGTACTGGCAATAATATGCCATGCTAAGTGTATTAAAATCCAGCATTCACATGCTAGTTATGTCTGCATGTTTGCCTATAAAAATGATTGAAATGAAAAAATTCTAAGTGAGCAAAGCCGTCATCATTAATCTGATGTGTGTGTAAAATACAGTCCGGAGGTGAAATTCCATTGTGACCCCTAAAAGGGTCTTGGTTCATTCTACATGAGTTTATGACACCTGGTGCCAGCGAGTCTGCCGGTGAAAGTCACTCGGTGACATCTTATCTACCAAGATGCTGGGCAGAGCTAGAGCTGTCCCATCTTCAAAGACATTTTAAAGAAAAAAACCCTCCTTTCTGGGACCCACCCACACACACACCACTGACATGCACTCACAAATTCTCTTCCTTATTACCTCTTTTGCTTCTTACACATCTATAAACCCTTTTCAAGACATTAGACAAACTGAGAATGCATGCATTATGTTTTATGTATTTCTAAAAGTGTCATGGTTGGTGTCATTCTTCTCCATGCGTAATTCTACAGCTCATGATCTAGGACATAGGATGATAACTTGCATGCTTGGTGTAATTTTAAATTTCTTAATCCATCTATCTTGTGATGTTACAGAACAGCGAGGAGGAACAAAGAAAGTTTCCCACACGACTACTCCTCTCACGCCATTGGTCATTCAGGAGAGACTGGGAGTAACCTGACCAACGCCTTTAAACACCTGTTACACCCCCAAGTCCTCGCAGAAGGCCGCAGACACAAGGGAAGGCCCGTTCGAGCCTAGGAGGGGTCAGTTGGCGTTTCTGTGTGGAGTTTGCATGTTCTCCCGGCGTTGGCGTGGGTTTCCTCCGGGTGCTCCGGTTGCCCTCACAGTCCAAAGACATGCAGTACAGGTCAATTGGGTAGGCTAAATTGTCTGTAGTGTATGAGTGTGAATGAGTGTGTATGGGTGTTTCCCAGTGATAGGTTGCAGCTGGAAGTGCATCCGCTGTGTAAAACATATGCTGGATAAGTTGGTGGTTCATTCCACTGTGGCGACCTCGGATTAATAAATGGACTAAGCCGAAAAGAGAATGAATGAATGAATGAATGAGGGTCCACTCAGATGAGAAGTTATTGTTGTATTTATTTTTTTAAATGAACTATAAGAAAATTCTGAACTTTCATATTAATAATAACCTCTTATTGATCATTAATATTTATAAATTGAGCTAATTTTGCTACCTGTGTGTGTATGTTTCGGCCCGCAGAAATCTTACCATCCCCTCCAGGACTTTTCCGAAGACCACGTGTTTTCCATCCAGCCATGGCGCTCTGGCTAGCGTGATGAAGAACTGTGAGCCGTTGGTGTCGGGCCCCGCATTCGCCATGCTCACCCAACCAGCCCCCAGATGCCGGAGCCGGAAGTTCTCATCCGCAAACATGTTTCCATAGATGCTTTTACCTGAACCACACAACAATGCAGATAAGAGGCACCTCATTTAATACGGATGATCTTCTGCAACTCTGAATCTGCCACATCAGGTTTGACTTAAAGTACAACCATATTCAGAAATAACCATGTTGATTTTGTTTGTTTGAAGATTAGGTCTGTCTGAGGCTTTGGGCGTGGCTTAATTAACCACGCCCTTTTAGCTGTCAGTTTTGACAACAAACAGTAATGGTGAGGAGGAGGAGTCTGTTGGGTTGTCATATCTCTCCCCAAACCTTTTTCCCTGCATCTTTCTGAATGAAACACCCACTTTACTACGTCCAATTGGCTCGCAGATAAAAAAAAACAAGCCACGCCCACTGTTTTCTTATTTAATATTTTGTTTTTCTAGGAACTGTGTCCCAATACAAAAAAAAAACGGCTGCAGCTTCCGGATCATGCACACTTTAAAGGTGCTGTATGTAAGTTTTTGACTGCAGATATTTAAGACACATGCTGTGTTGTGAAACAAAGTTGTTCTGCTTTGAATATGTGTGTTCCATGTCAGAACATCTGTCTTTGTTTTGGTCTCTATAGCTCCGCCCACTGCCAGTATAGCCAATTATATTTCAGACCTCCTGTTGCCCTGGTGGGAAATGCGCCATATTTCATGTCAGTCTTGAAATGAGATGCATGTTCAGAGTTATATAGGTGGTTTGTAATTGGCAAATCATTTTAAAAATTACAAACGTAAACATTAGCTGTGGCGGAGTAGGTAGTGCTGTCGCCTCACAGCAAGAAGGTCACTGGTTTGAGCCTTGGTTGGGTCAGTTGGTGTTTCTGTGTGGAGTTTGCATGTTGGTGTTGGTGTGGGTTTCCGTGCTCTGGTTTCCCCCACAAGTCCAAAGACATGTGCTATAGGGGAATTGGGTAAGCTAAATTGTCCCTAGAATATGTGTTTGAATATAAGTGTATGGGTGTTTCCCAGTACTGGGTTGCAACTGAAAGGGCATCAGCTGTATAAAATGTATGCTGGATAAGTAGGCAGTTATTTGCGCTGTTGTGACACCTGATAAATAAATGGACTGAGCCAATGAATGAATGAACTGCAATATGAATACATTTTCACCTGCTGACTTGAATGGCTCATTATGGAAATAATTACTAATTTTCAAAATCCAGGAGATCATGATCCTCACCCCCTGTTCCGTCTCCAGCAGTGAAATCTCCTCCCTGGATCATGAAATCTTTGATAACTCTGTGAAACTTGCTGCCTTTATAGCCGTAACCCTTCTGGAGAGATGGAGAGAGAGAGAGATGATCTGTGTTATGCACACACACACCCGTCACAGATCTCTCTTTCACATTCATATTTTCTACAGGATGCTTTACAGTAATATAATTGGGGTGGATTTAGTCATTTGGAGGCCCTTAGAAATTCCAGCCAACAGTCCTAATACCCACCCTTTGTAGTTTTATTTATTTATTTCCAATTTATTCATTTTTATCTTTTATCACACTTAATTTCTGTCTTAGTGCAATTTCTACATTTAAAATAATGTGTTTTCCTGAAGTGAATTCACAACTAAAAATAATAAATAAATACATAATTTTCATCTGATTTGGCTGAATTATAGCCAAATTACACTGCCAAATGAGTTCAAATGTGCTTTAAGGACAGCAGAGGGAATGTTTTGGAGTGGCCATCACAAAGCCCTGATCTCAATCCTATAGAACATTTGTGGGCAGAGCTGAAAAAGCTTGTGCGAGCAAGACAGCCTACAAATCTGACTCAGTTACAGCAATTCTGTCAGGAGGAATGGGCCAAAACTCCTGCAAACTATTGTGAGAAGCTTGTGGAAGGAGACCCAAAACATCTGACCAAAGTTATACAGTTTAAAAGCAAAGCTAAAATATACCAAGGAAATGTGTGGAAACTTTTGACTGTCTAGAAATTAATAAAACATTTTCTCATTATTCTGGCAATTAGCCAATGTAAATCATTTAGGTAATCCTGACAGACCTAAAATGTTTAGTATCATTTACCGTCATACATTTAAAAAATAAATAGTTATGTTCCTTTTTTTAGAGTACATGTAAACTTCTGCTTTCAACTGTGGATGAATGTATGTATGTATATATATGTATGGTTAAAGTTAGGATGCAGAGTTTTACCTCTCCAGTGGCCAGAGACACAAAGTTCTGTACGGTCAGAGGAGCTACTTCACCAAACAGACCAATCACAATCCTGCCAACCTCATGACCACCCACGGTGATGTCGAAAAACACCTGCAGCACACACACACACACACACACACACACACATTAATATACAGACACATTCATACACACAAACATTCATAGACACAGACACACATGTTCAAAAAGACATGTTAGACACACACAGACCCACACACACACAAATGCACACACAAATACAGGCACGTACATCCAAACACACATGTATACACACTTACGCACACATGCATACACACATATATGCACACACAAATACAGACACATCCATACAAACACATTTATGTACACATGCATGAACACACGCATACACACATGCATATACACACAAACACAAACAAATACAGACACATGCATACAAACACACATGCATAAACAAGCATATACACACACAAATACAGACACATGCATACAATCACACATGCATAAACAAACACATACACACGCATATACACACACAACTACAGACACATGCATAAAATCACACATGCATAAACAAACGCATACACACACAGACACACATACACACGCATATACACACACAAATACAGACACATGCATACAATCACATATATGCATACATACACATGCACACACACAGAGCAAGAGCTAAGTGTACAGTTTGCTAAATATCTGAAGACATTATACACCGTATGCAATCAGACTATTTAAATAATATTAAATAACCCTTCATTTAAGGTGTCTTTACACAAGCTCCATGTATTACTACAGTAATTACACACAACTTATCTGCAATATTAATCATATAGTAAGTACACCCAATTTTCATAAATTTCTTTTTAAATATTTTTTTCTTGACTCTATTTGTTGGTTAAATGTTACAAAGAAAAAAAACACTGATCATTTTAAATTATATAACTTAATAAAAAACAAAATGGACATTTTAAGTAGCATTTAAAATACGTTTTACTGTTTGTTGAATTGTTTTGCTTTTACTCCTGTTGATATTGCACCATAAAAGACAATATTGTGTAATTATACAGTACTGTCGAGAGGTGCACGCGATAGTTTTCCACCACAAGATAACCCAAACATTTATTTTGATTTTTAATTTTATTTTTCAGTCACAACACATGAGGATGTCATTCTGAATAATTGCCTTTTTATAAAAAAAAATGCATAATATTATTTGGAATAACTACAGAATTGAAACACTGCCATCACCAACTCTTATTTCAGTGTGCCTGAAACTCCTCAAATGTGACGCATTCCAGTGAAGCGCGTCGCGTCAAGAAGAACGCAATGAACAGACGCATGCGCACAGCACACAGCGATTTGTACTTAAATAGCGATCGGCTGTAGGTTTAGTTTGTGTGTGTGTGTGTGTGTGTGTTGTGGATGATGATGATTAGGATGATGATGGTTGTGCAGTGTTTGCAGAAGATGCTGCAGGACGCGCGTCTCACCTTGTCCGTCACTTGCGGTCCCGTTCGCGTTTTAAAATCAATCGCGCTGCTTAAAAACGGCAGACCGAGAAGAGAAAACGCGTGCCAGAGCCGAAACCGCTGCATCTCTGACTGAATGTATGAATATAAGCGTCTGAGTGTTATTAGGCTGAAGAGAATCTGCAGATTCCTTGCGTCTTCCTGTATGACGCTCCTCCTCCAGCGCGCACGCGTCATGACGCACAGTGTCGGAGGAATACACTCAATACTGTACAAGGATGGCGGAGAGTAGCAGCACTTTGTGCATTTCTTTTCATAATGACAATATATTAAACCCACATCAATTAGACACTCGCCCACATTGGCATAACATGTACATATGATAACATCAAAATCAGAACAAGCTTTATTGTGTTTTCCTGACAGAAGTCCACAGAATGACAGTGACAGAGCAAAAACACAGACAATGCAGGAATAAAATTAAATACACAATTTGACATGCATGTACAGTATCTAATATATCAGGCCCTATAGCCACACTGCAAAAATGCTTTTCTTACTTAGATTTTCTGTCTTGTTTCTAGTCCAAATATCTACAAATTCTTAAATTAAGAAGCATTTTCAACACAAGCAAAACATATTGTCTTGTTTAAAGAAATAATCTGCCAAAATGAAGTGAGTTTTTCTGCCAATGGAGTCAGGAAAATAATCCTGTTTTTCAATTTGTGATAAGATTATTTTGCTCACCCCAGGCAGATTATTTAGCTTGATTTTAGGAAAAATTCACTTCATTTTGGCAGATTATTTCTTAAAACAAGACAATATGTTTTGCTTGTCTAGAAAATGCTTCTTGATATAAGAACTTTTAGATATTTGGACTAGAAACAAGACAAAAAATCTAAGTAAAAAAGCATTTTTTGCAGTGCATGTATGGGTTCAGGTG